GCCAAAGCGGAGCACACCAAACTTAACCACTACACCATGGGGTCAGCCCAGGAAGAGTATTTTTAAAGGAGGGAACAGCTAGTTCAAAGTCCAGAGCAAACTTGCTATATTCAAGAATGCAGAATATATATGTACGATGTATGTAAATTAGAAACACCCCTATCTGTAGTTACATGTGAAATTATCTTATATTCAGGACCTTCTATAGAGTTCAAGTGAGATATCCTCATTTTTATTGAACTCACCTCTAAAGTATGTAGAGTTAAAGCATAGTTCCCAGCATACCTCATCATTATCAACCACCAACTTTTATTAAGTGCCTTATATGTGAAAGAAAAGCAGCTATTATTGTAGAAGATTTTTTAAAGTCAGACTCTCTTCACTTAAAAAAAGTTACAATTAGAGAAAAAGGCAAAAATATATGAAATGTTAATTAATAAAAAAATTTTTAAAGCAATTTGTAGCAAGAATAAGACATACCTCCAGATAGTATAAGATTAATTACTAAGTAAAATTATCTACATAAACTTTTATTTATATATTGTCCATAAAATCAAGTTTCTATCTGGTTTAGGGAAAAACAACTGAATGAATTTTCACTAAATTTGCAGGATATGGTTGGCATATTTCTGTGTTAAGAAATAGTCTATGTTGTTATACACAACATTCATTTGCAGGGCACCTAAAAAAGGTAGAGGGAAACTTTCCAGAGTAGCTAAAACTAAAAAGTACAACAAGAGGTCCATGAGGTCCTAGAGGGCTGGTAATAGTGAGGGATAAGCCATTTTGTAAAATGATGCTGTGGATGAGCAGAGAAAAAACAGTGGTTTCAAATTTAAACTCTAACTTATTCAACTCAAGGGCAATCAATCCAAATTCCATGCATTGATTTGCAATAACATTGAATCTCACATACACAATAGAATATAGTGTATTCCAGAATAAGTGGTAATAGGGATTTATTTATTTAATGAAGGTTAACGATTCTTTGAAGCTATGCAGAGGAGGCTAACTTCTGTATAATAGAGGTTATGAATTGAAAGGAAGAAAAAAAATCCTGGTCTTAGTTTAGGTTTGCCCAGAAGCAAATCCTGAGACAAGGATTCACATGCAATTGATTACCTAGGAGAAAACAATGGTAGGGGAGGGAGTCTCTGAGACAGAGAAGGGAAGGCAGGCAACAGAGGGTTGGTTATTAATCAAATGGCCACTGTGTCCACCGTAGATAAAAATAACCTAATCTCACTAGGGAAATATGGCAGCAAGTCTAGAATAGTGTAGCCAGTGTAGTGAAAGGGTGAGAAAGACTGAGGTATTTATATACCAATTCATGCCAGTCCTTAGATGAGGGCTGCTCCCAGGCAGTATTAATTGTCTGACATGGCTGGTCTGCTGAGTAGGAGAGCAAAGTGGGATCTGGCAACGAGAAAAATCCCTCAGGCAAAGAAATACAGTTGCTGGCAATTGGAAGAAGGGGCAGAACACACTGAAGTGCAAGAACAAGGGGATACTGGTGGTAAATTGATAATCATATGGACAAGAATGATCTAGAAGACACAATAGAAGAGGGACTTGAGCTGGGCCTTGAGAAATGGGTAATATTTGGTTAAGGGAAAGCATATAAGTTAGGAAAAGTGGCATGAGCAAAAGTATTGAGGTAGGAAAGCACAGGAGATATCTTTGGTCAGTTATAAGCCATTTTGGCTAGATCAGATAGTTTACACAAGATATTCTTGAGAAAATATGGCTAAAAATATATGTTGGGTCCATATTAATGAAGGTATCTAATGATAGGCTAAAGAGCTTTAACTTTTGCTTGTAGGATTGAGGAAACTTTAAGTTTCTAAATGGGAAAGTAATAAAATGAAAACATTACTTTATAGCATTAATAACTATGTTGGCACCATTATTGTCCTTGGAATGTAAACTCCTATTGCATAAGCTCTGTATCTGTTCAGTTTCCCTAGGAGAGGGTTACACGCAGAGAAGTATTCAGTAACCCATTAGCAATGAGCACCCTGAGTACAAAGACTATGGTATCTAAATACCATTTCTTACTAAAAGGAACCAAGGCTCCTTGGAGAAAGGGCTGATTCCAGTTCTGTGCAGAATATTTACAAGATGAGTCTAAAACATTTTGTCATGCCAGAAAGGAAGTAAACTATCAAACACTATACTTGCTTCGTCAAAAGAACTCAGAAGCCCACTTGAGGGGGTTCCCACTGGCCAAAGAAGAAATAATTTCAGCATCAAAATAATAAATATAAAAATATTTTTAAAATAATGTCTTCAATGACATGAAATATATTAAAAATTTGAACATCCATGAGTTCATAAATATACTTAAAAACTTGAAGGATATTAGGGAATTAACTCATTATTCTGAAAACTAGGAAGTAGAAGAGAAAAATCACACATCTATCCTACTCTTCCTGTATAAACTGTACAGATAATTAATGAGGTAAAGTTCTTTATTATAAAGAATTTCTGTTAGTAAATGTAGAACAAATGATAAAATTAGAATATCACCATTTTGCAACTCTAAATGAAATAATGGACCCAGACAATAATCATCAATGGCTGCTAAAACTATTAGCAGAAAAGTTCATGGGAAAATTTATGATGTTTATTACAAACTTTATCACATTGACATCATCTGAACCCAATAACCAATTATATGAAAAAAAGAGAGGCAAGCAGACAGTATACGCCTCAGCATAATGCAATAGGCAGTAAATAATAACACCTATGAAGTCTTTTCGCCAAAAAGAAAAAAGAACTTAATCTGAATAATCCCGTAGGTTTAACTACCAGTTTACAAGAAATACAGGGGAAAGAACACCATAGGAACATAATTTGCAAAATTCAGAATGTGGCAAATTCTACAGAGCAAAAGATCATTATTTTTTAACAAATACATGGCAAGAAAAAATTAAAGGAGAACCTAGATTAAAAAACATCAAATGTAATGTGCAAACTTTGTTTAGGTCTTGACTTGAACAAATCAACTGTAAAACATAAAATAAAATTTATGAGAATTAAATTTGATATTAAATGTCTCTTTTATGATATTATAGAATTATTGTTAAAATTTTAGTTGTACTGATGATATTGTAATGTTTTTTTAAACGCCCCTTTATATTATAGATATATATTCATAATTCCAAAAAGCTTATCATTAAATATTTATCAATAAAATAATATAGTGTCTGGAATTTACTTAAAAAGAATCCAAAGGGCTGGGAGGAAGATTATATATTAATAATTATTTATGCTACATGATTAATATGTGAGCATTCATTATAGTAATGTAGTTACTTTATGTTTGAATGCAAAGATTGGGCATTCCCGGTGAGTTAACTAAAACTTAGTATTTCTGACCTCTTGTCTGATCACTGAAATCATTAAAGACTGAAGACAACTACTCACAGAAAGAAGCACAGGACAAAGCTAGAAAACGCAGTTATGAAAGTACAACATCATTGGGTATATATAACTTCAGTGTGAGAAGAAGGAGCTTCCAATGCCTAAAAGCTTGGCAGGAAGCAATGGTCAACCTAAAGTGACTCTTTAATTGTTGCTGATTGCGAAGGAGGCAGTTTAGTTAAAAAAAAAAAAAAAAAAATCTAGGCGTTAGAAGACTGACAACACCTGGCTTTGTAATCTTCGACTCACATAACTTCTGCAGGTTTTGCAGCATGAAAGTGCAGGAAATGAAATAATAAATAACAGCAATGATACTTGTGTTGTGAGTACTAGCTCTAGACTGTGCAGTGTCCTAAGAGCTTTGCATGCATTATCCTCTTTAAACCTCACAACAACCCAAGGAGGTGGGGTGGGCGCTTGATAGGGTAGTTCCCCTTTATCCGCAGGGATACCTCCAAGACCCCCAGCAGATGTCTGAAATCGAGGATAGTACCGAACCCTAGATATAAAATGTTTTTTCCTATACATGCATACTTATGATAAAGTTTAATTTATAAATTAGGCACAGTAAGAGATTAACAAATGATAAAATAGAGCAATTATAACAATACATTGTAATAAAAGTTACCGCAGGTCTTAGCAACCTCAGCATACGATTTTTTTCTTTCCTTGTCAAGTTCAGAACTTTCACCTTTACATGAGGTAAAGCCGAAAGTACTTTACGACTTCTTTTTGGCATATCCTAATTGCCAGCATCACTACTGTTGCATTTGGGGGCCACTGTTAAATAAAATAAGGGTTACTTTAACACAAGTACTGTGATACCAGGGCAGTCAATCTTATAACCCAGACGGCTACTAAGTGACTACCGGTGGGCAATGTATACAGCGTGGATATGCTGGACAAAGGGAGCATTCACCTCTGGGGCAGGATGGAGCTGGGCTGCGCGGGATTTCATCACACTACTCAGAACGGGTGCAATTTAAAACTTAAAAAATTGTTTATTTCTGGAATTTTCCCTTTAATATTTTCAGGCTGTGGTTGACCACAGGTAACTGAAACCCGGGAAAGCCAAACCACAGATAAGCAGGGGACTACGGTATATACTTTTGAAAGGACTACTGAATGAGGTAGGCATCAATACACGGTGCCATTTTTCACTTGAGGAGATTGAAGTTCAGAGGCCAGCAACTTCTTTAAGATCAAGAATGACTTGGTCCAGCCAACACTCCAGGTTTATTTAACATGAAAGAATGCTTATACCACTCCATTGCATTGGACTCTCTCTGAGAGAAGATTGGGGGGCCGAGTGTGAAATACTGGAAACCTAACTGTTTCTACAGACCTACAGTTTTCCATCGCCAGCACCATACTCTACACATCTCCGTCTCACCCGGAAGGAAAACGAGCCTTTCACTCACCGCCAGAAACCCGGTCCTTCCTAGCCCGCACCTCCCGCCCGGCTCCCAAAGGTCTTCAGCCCCAAGACCTGCCCGTTCTTGACTCGCGCACAGCCTGTGACCTTCAAACTACATCTCCCATAAAGCCCTGCGAGGGCACGAGATCTCGCCGGAAGTCAGACAGGCTTCATCCGGCGCGGCGAAGAGTGAGTGTGGGGTTTTCCCAGTCCTTCGATTACGTCGTGTTGTCCTGTACTGTGGTCACTTTTGGGTTAGTAGCAGCAGCGGCGAGTTGCTCGGCCGCAGATCCCCGTCTGGGGCCGGTTAACGGTTCTCAGTGGTCTTTTGTCTCCGCGCCGTCGGGCCCGGCCCTGCTGGGTGGTGTGGCGCAAACCTGGCGCTGGGTGCAGGTGCAGGTGCAGGCGCCGGAGCGGTGGCCGAGCAGCCAGGACCCCTGGGATGGGGTGGAGGGCGCAGCCGACCCTGCTGCTGGTGGCGTTTCCAGCCCATTCTTTGAGATGGGGGAAAGGAGGTGCTGATTCTGGTGTGGTTTCACTTTAAAAGAAGGACTCACAATAGTGGCAAGAAAATAAACTATCTCAGGGCCTTTGACCTTTTGGAGAGACCATGCATGACCGTGATGACTCTTGATTGGTTAAATGGCCATCTTGTGCCAAGGAGTTGGATTCATTAAATAACGGTCGGTGACTTCAGGGACAGAGCCATATCTGAGGTCTGCCTTGTCTCTTCAGCCACGGTCAAGTCATGGGCCCCGGGTTACACATCGGTAAAAGTGGGTATTGGTGTGATTAAAATCTAAGATTCTGAAGGTCATTTAGACCTCTCAGATTAGTCCGTACTCTTCTTGGAAAGCAAAGGCAGCATTTAACTAACAATCACCTCCTCCCGCCTTCAAGTCCTCACCTAAGGGAGGACCTGACACTGAGAAATTAAAAAGTAAATCAAGCAGTAGAACCGGACTTCAGACTGCCTGTGTTTCTCTGGAATGAGTAATGGTCTATTTCTAGATGGCTTTTCTGCTGAGAAAGCTAAGGGGGAAAGTGTAGATTTTCCACTTGCTTTCTCCTGAGAATACTGTATACACAAGCATTGCACTGGGGGTACTGAATGGTACTGTATTTTTGGAGGACAGTTTTGCAGTCACCTGGAGTGGCCTAGGGGGAGGGTGAGGAAGTGACCATGACTTCAGAACATGAGACAGTGAAATACTGCTTAAAGTAAGCCTAACTGAAGAACCTATATGATAAGATTTTGTGGAAAATAAATTTAAGGGAAAGGCAACTTGAAAGGGAGAGCATACATGAGTCAGTATACAGCAGTGCTTCAAAATAAGTCCTGAAAATTTGTAGCTTTTCTTATAATGTTTTTAAAGCATTTAGAAATCTCAGTGGTGAGGTAAATTCTAGAGTAAATCAAAAGAAATAAAAAAGTGTTTTCTAATATAGAAGTTCCTCTTAACTAAGTTGTAAAAAGATTTTCAACGTTAGGTTTTATCCAAATGTTTCCGTTCCTGTGTGTAGTTTTCACCTATTTATAAGTAGCAGAAAGATACAAACAGGAAAGGTGAACAGATACAAAATAAGAAAGTTAATCTCTTTGCCCACTTTTCCCTAAATTTTGTTCATACTGCTATAAAACTGATCAGCCAAATTGCAGTGTCAGAACCCTAGAGACAACAGCTGTCAAAATTATGGATTATAACCTTTCTTTCTTTTTAGCCTAAATAGCTTATTGCTTAGAATGGTAAAAACCTTTAGAATTCCAAGTCTTTTCTTAATAGCATTTCATAAAAAAAAAAATTCGTACCTTAAAAAAAGTACTTTGAGGGGCCAGGCCGGTGGTGTAGTGGTTAAGTTCGTGGGCTCTGCTTTGGCAGCCTGGGGTTCACAGGTTCAGATCTCAGGCATGGACCCACACACTGCTTATCAAGCCATGCTGTGGCAGGCGTCCCACATATAAAGTAGAGGAAAATGGGCACGGATGTTAGCTCAGCACCAATCTTCCTGACCAAAAAAAAATAATAATAATAAAGTACTTTGAGATATTCATAGACAACTGAAACACGAACCATTTCCACAAAAAAAAAAAAAGCTCAGTTTGTGCCTTACCACATTCAATCCATGATTAGCAACATTTATTAAGAGGTATGGGACAATTATTTTCTGTATTGTTTTCTTACTGAAACAACAGGGTGACAAAGCAGACAAAGAAAGTTAAGGGTTTAAAAAGCTTCTGTGATTCAAGAATAGACAGAGACCAATAGAACAGTGTCCAACAATAGATCCAAAATATATGGTCATCTGATTTATGACGAGAATAATACTGCAGTGCAATGGGACAAAGATGGTAATTTCAAGAATGGTGCCACGTCGTATGGATTGTCCAGTGGGATAAAAATGTGTTTTGACCCTTACCTCACATCATGAACAAAAAACAATCCCAGATAGATTGCAGAATTAATTGTGCAAGGTAAAGCAATAAATTGTTTTTATGGGAAACTTAGACAGCTTTTGAATAATTACCTGTAGGATCATAACTTTCTGGAGGGCAGGGACCTGTTTCTGGTACCACAGAATCTAAGAAAATACTGCTTGTCATCTGCTAAAAACTTTTACCTTTACTTCTGTCTGCTTTAACCCCCCTCATGCCTCTGGTCCATACTGAGGTCCCTCTGGTCTACCTCAAATACCCCTTCCTCTTTGTAATACCTACTACCTGAATCCCTCTCCCAAGGATATGGCCCCCTCTCATCTGTATTACCCAAACTCTTTATATGTTATTTTATACATCCCCCATGTTGAATTATATTTAAAATTCTCAACTGATAACAATTTTGAAATATATGCTGTAATTACAACTGACTACTAATTACCATTTGAAGAGGGTATTGCTTTAGAAACCATAACTATTATTCTAATTATATTAGCACTTAGGTAATGTTCAGTCATTGATACAAAAAGCAACCACAAATGAATTTTTTTGTATTTTCCTTTTTTTAAGGTAGAATGTCTTCTATAAAAGGAAGTCCAAAGCAAGAAATAATTTCCCAATTTCACTATTCAGCTGCAGAAGGAGATATTGCCAGGTTAACAGTAATACTCAGTCATTCTCCATCTCTTCTCAATGAAACTTCTGAAAATGGCTGGACTGCTTTAATGTATGCTGCAAGAAATGGGCACCCAGAAGTTGTCCAATTTCTACTTGAGAAAGGGTAAACATTTTAGGCTGTACCACTTGAAAGGTTGTGTGGTTTAATTTCTGGGTTACATATTTCCTTTTAAATTTTTCTTGTAGCCGTATTTATATCATTGGGCTTATAAATAACTCATTGACCAGTTTGTTATATAAAAATGTAGCATAATTTCTAACTAAAAACTTTCAAATTTTTGTATTGAAGAATTCCTTCATACTCAGTAGCAAAGCAAATTTATGTTAGTCTAATATTTTTCTCCCAAAAAGAAACCGTAAATCTACCCACTATAACTACCAAGAACCCCTTGTAAAATTTTAATATCTTATAGCACATAAAACTTACTTCTTTTTTATTTTATAATTCTCCAGAAATTTTATTTTATTTATTTTTTTTTTTGAGGAAGATCAGCTCTGAGCTAACATCCATGCCAATCCTCCTCTTTTTTGCTGAGGAAGATTGGCCCTGGGCTAACATCCGTGCCCATCTTCCTCTACTTTATATGGGACACCGCCACAACATGGCTTGACAAGTGGTGCATCGGTGCGTGCCCGGGATCCGAACCTGGGCCGCCAGCAGCAGAGCATGTGCACTTAACCACTACGCCAGGGGGCCGGCCCCCAGAAATTTTAAATATCCACTATCTCTAGCTTTTCTTTATTTGTGAGTATTTCTTTTAACTTTCCCATTATTAAATTATGTACTAAAAGAAAAAAAATCTGTGTAATCATTAAATAGAGGGGCTATAATGTACATCTGGAAATATTTTCTTGTAATAAATACTGGAGAAAACGTTTGTTTCCTATTTTATTTTTCCTTCCAACTGTAGGTGCGACAGATCCCTTGTCAATAAATCAAGGCAGACTGCACTGGATATTGCTAAATTTTGGGGTTATAAGCATATAGCTAACTTACTAGCTAATGCTAAAGGTGGGAAGAAGCCTTGGTTCCTAACCAATGAAGTGGAAGAATGTGAAAATTATTTTAGCAGGACACTACTGGACCGGAAAAGTGAAAAAAGAAATAATGCTGACTGGCTACTAGCTAAAGAAAGCCATCCAGCCACAGTTTATATCCTTTTCTCAGATTTAAATCCCTTGGTTACTCTGGGTGGCAATAAAGAAAGTTCCCAACAGCCAGAAGTCAGGCTTTGTCAGCTGAACTACACAGATATAAAGGATTATTTGGCTCAGCCTGAGAAGATCACCTTGATTTTCCTTGGAGTAGAACTTGAAATGAAAAAAGAGTTACTTAATTATGTTGGGGAAGTCCCAAGAGGAGGAGAAGATGGGTTGGTTGCCTGGTTTGCTCTAGGTATAGATCCTGTTGCTGCCGAAGAATTTAAGCAAAGACATGAAAATTGTTATTTTCTTCATCCTCCAATGCCAGCTCTTCTGCAATTGAAAGAAAAAGAAGCTGGTAAGAAGTGAACACTGTTTACTTGTATTGGTAATAATCTGGTTTTTGAAACTTGGTTGGAGTTGTATGTATCTGCAGTTTCTAGGAGGCACGCTTTTTCCAGTAAGCAATGAAATTAGGCTACCTTCATTAGAAACTTCCTAAAGTTCTCACACTAGAAGACTAGGCAGTTAAAGCAGTTTTAATAAGCCAAGATTAGTTTCCCCGGAATTAACCCTTATGCATGCTGATTTCATTCGATTCTTCAGTGAATAACTATTGAGCGCCTGCTGTACGCTGAGCCTGACGGACAAGACCCTCACTGTTTTGTTTTGTTTTCTCTTGCTGGGTATGTCAGTTCACGTAGGGCCTTAAATGCTATGGTAAGAAATAAGGTGTTTTATTCTAAATTCCACTTAAATGTTGTAACTTGACCTATGTTTAAAAAAAAGTCAAAAACAAAAACCCTCACTCTGGCTGCTTTGTAGATCCCGAATTGTAGGTAATTACTGTGGAAGTCAGGAGTCTTGTTAAGAAGGGATTATAGATTACAGTATCCCAGGTAAGAGATTGCAGTGGATTGGGTTAGTGGGGTAGAGAGAAAGGGAGAGTTTGAGAAATTCTGGAGTTAGAACTGATAGGGCTTGATCAGTAGGTTCAGACTGTTATAAGAGAGAGAGGATAGTAACCTGGACTATGGCCTGAATTAAAGTGATAATAGAAGAGATTGAGAAAAGGGGTACATTCAAGACATATTTTGGAGGGAAAATCAACAGTTCGTGCTGATGGATTGGGTATGGGGCACATAATACTGAAGAAAAAGATCAAGAATGACTGCTAGATTTGAGACTTGAGTAATTTGGTAGATAGTGATACTATTTCTTGATAAAATAATATAGGGAAGTGGGTAGAGCAAGAGAAGCAGGAAAATTTGAAGTAAATAAATCAAGATTTTAGTTTTGGGCGTGTTAAGTTTTAGAGAAGGACATGAGAATCTGGAACGCAGAGAGGTCTGAACTGGAGATACCCTATGGGAGTCATCAACACAAAGATAGTATTTAAATCTCAGTAAACTACTAGGGCCGGCCCCGTGGCTTAGCGGATAAGTGCGTGCGCTCCACTGCTGGCAGCCCGGGTTCGGATCCCAGGCGTGCGCTGACACACCACTTTTCAGGCCATGCTGAGGCCGCGTCCCACATACAGCAACTATAAGGATGTGCGACTATGACATACAACTATCTACTGGGGCTTTGGGGGAAATAAATAAATAAATAAATAAATTGTTAAAAAAAAAAATCTCAGTAAACTACTGAGATTACTTAGAGTTGAGAGCAAGTAAGAAAGAGAACCTCAGAATCGTAACTGAATCCCCCTAAATTCAGAGATGAGATAGAAGCACAGGGGCCATCAAAGGTGATGTTGACAGTGTGGCCATAAGGAGGAATACAGGAGCATGTGCTCATGGAAACCAAGAGAGCAGAGTACTGAAGGTAGTGGGCCAATATGTTGAATGCTGTTGAGAATTTGAGTAAGATGAAGACAAAGATTTTTTTTTAAAGGATCTTTGGTTTTGGTAATAGGAAGCTGTTGATGAATTTGACAAGAGGAGCATCAGTGGAGTGGAAGGAACAGAGCTAAATTATGGTAGATTGAAGAGTTACGGGAGGTGAGGAAGGGATCAAAAAGAATATCTTTTCTTTGGAACTATATTTATAATTTTAAGATTGAAAGGATATCTTTTTTTTTTTTTTACTAGTAAGGAAACTGAGCCCTTTTACTCACTCGCTGTGTTTGACCTTACACTATTACTTAACCACTGTGTGCCTCAGTTTCCTCCTCCAGAAAATGAGGATAATAATAGTACCTACATCATACGGTTGTTCTAAACATTAAATGAGATAATGTGTATAAAGATCTTTGCATGATGCTTGGCACATAGTAAGTGCTCAATAAATGTTAGCTTTCTTATTGTAATGATACTCAAATAGTGTAAATACCTTACAGTAAATTACATATTACAAGGTAGCATAGCAGGCAGATATTTAATGTTGCCTATGGTTCATTGAATTTCAGTGTTAGATTTGTTTTTATTTATGGTTTATTAGTTTCATTTTTCCCAGTTTAAAACATTGCTTTTGTTATTGTTGTTTATGATTATTTTGTTTATTTCAAAAAATCCTTAGACCAAGTAATGTATTTTCAGGAGAGCGAGTTCGTCAGGCATTTGAAATGTAGCATTTCTAGTCTTGTTGCCTCAATTGTAATATTTCTGGTTAGGCCATATTCTTTTTTGAAGTACCAGGGTAAAGGCTATAGCCAAACTGTATATATTCTAAGATGTATTCTATTAGGCATTTTTTTCATAAACAAAGTTAACCATGAATGTTACAGTATTGTTTTAATACTCTGTGCAGTTTCTAGATTTCAACAGGATATGTTCCATAGTGATGTGGACCAGTAGTGGCTTAGTGACTAAGGAAAGTAGAGATGGGTTCCTACAGTTTCCTAGTAATATTTCTTTTATAGTCCAAATGTAAGTTAGGAACTGCCCTTGTAGTGTATTTTTATAAAAGTCACAATTGTAAAGTCACTATACACTAGAACCTTGTATATCCAAAATTTAAAAATCACCTATACTAAAAGCCTAAGCTAATACAGTCTATGAGATGGATGTTAGTACATCTATCTTATGTGAGAGTTGTATTTTATTAGTTCAAATTAAAGTTAAATCTAATTTTCATTTGATGTCTGTAGAATTAAATCTTTTACTTTAAAAATATGTATATGTCATAAAAATAGGAATACTAAATCCCTTGATCACACAGCTATTCAGAAAATGCAGTGTATGTCTTTATTATGACTTAAGAATATTTTACTTATATGTTAATTTGTTTACAGTTTGTCACAAAATTAAAACTTTTTGTCCTTCTCTTAAAGGGGTTGTAGCTCAAGCAAGATCTGTTCTTGCCTGGCATAGTCGATACAAGTTCTGCCCAACCTGTGGAAGTGCAACTAAAATTGAAGAAGGTGGCTATAAAAGAGCATGCTTGAAAGAAAACTGTCCCAGCCTCCATGGCGTTCACAATACGTCATATCCAAGAGTTGGTAAGCCTTTTCTTTTACAGTGAAATCTCAGCCATCTGGAATCTTAGGGAATAAGACATTCTGGAAAGACAAGATTTTGAGTTGCTGAAGGTTTACCTTTTTATTAAAGCATGTTTAATTTAACCATTAAGACTATAAGTATTAAAGTATTACATACTTTCATGATTTTAAGTAAGGGACATTGTACATAATTAGCCATTTCTTAACTCTGGGTTAATCAGTATGAATTTGATGTGTTGAGATACATGATTTCAGATGCCCACCAGTCTTGGTCCACTTGGTGCAAAGAAGAAAAAATGCCCCATTTCAGTGCCTGTTTGAGGCATCACCAAAGCAGTACAGCCTGGAGCTCGCTTCTCATTACTGCTGGTGTCTGCCTGTACCTTCTCTCCTCCTCCTCATTGCTGCTTCGAGTCTGCTGTGGCTTTGGAAATCTGATAACCCAGCCTTTTAAAACTGTGTGAAAAAAGAACAGACAGACTCAGCAACACCTGAGGGATCTCCTGGGAATAAAGTGCATGGCTCAGTGACATCTGTTTTTGCTGCTCAGGAGCCTTTTACGTTTGATTCCTGGTTTTCAATCATGATCTGGTGAGGAGAATTTGCTAGATTAGTGACTTCTTTAGAGAGATGAACTGTTATTTAATTTAAATTTTACTTTTTAATGGCTTAAACTCATCATAGAGCCACATTACCTTTTAAAAACATTTTGTTAAGGATTGAGATGGAAGGGAGAGGGAAATTCACTACATTTATGATGGTAAAATTTGAATTTTCTCCATGCCATATATTACCTACTCAAACTTTTTTCTAATTAAAAAATAAGAATATACCTAGCATACCATAAGTACATAATAAATGTTGCTATTAAGATGAGGAAGACAAAAATGATCTTCCCTTAGTTTAATGACAGTATTCTATGCAATTTCCCTGAAATACTCTATCTTCAGGCCAAAAGAAACAATCTCTTGTAACTAGACAAAAGTCTTATTCTTACAGAGGTATACCTTTTTATTATCCTACTAGACAGTGACTTTACACAAAGAGTCTAAATTATTTTTTCCTGTCATTCATACATTTGTTTTTTTTTTTAACAGATCCTGTAGTAATCATGCAAGTTATTCATCCAGATGGGACCAAATGTCTTTTAGGCAGGCAGAAAAGATTTCCCCCAGGCATGTTTACTTGCCTTGCTGGATTTATTGAACCTGGTAAGCCTTTTCTTAATAATTTTTATAATAATTTTCATTTAATTTATAATTTCCAAATAAAAATTTTAGTCAGCATTTGAGAAATCATCTCTGATAAATTATCATGTTATAAAACTGGGATATTTTTAAATATTTTCTGTGTATTTTAAAGGATATAATTTTTGTTTTTACTGGTGGAATAATTTTGTGTTTTAAAAATTCAGTATTTGCTCTTTCATATATCTTGGATATATTGCTCTTACCCAAGGTATCTGCATGATTTGCAACTCACTTCCTTCTGTACTAGACTCAACTGTCGCCTTTTCAAAGAGGCCTTCCTTGATAGCCCCAAATACATTAGTTAGCCCCATACCCTGCATTCACAGTCCTTGTCGTCCTGCCTAATTTTTCCCTACAGCACTCATCACCACCTAATATGGTATGTATATATGCATGTATGTTATCGATTTAGCTATCTATCTATCTATTTATTTATTTATTATCTGCTGGTACCAGAAAGGAAGTTCCGTAAGAGCAGGGACTTTGCTTTATTCATTGCTGTATCCCAAGCCCTTAGAGCACTGCTTCATATGTAACAGGAGTTCAATAAATGTTTGTGGAATAAATGAATGAGTATATCTAATTAATACATGTTTAATCTCAACTTACAATATTAATCTGCATTGATAAATAATAGTAGTAAACATATGTAGTGTCATAGTCTGTTCCAAAGGCTTTCCGTATATGAAATCATGTGATCCTCACACAACCTTATAAAGTAGGTACTATTACAGCAGTTTTACAGGTAGGGCACTAAGGCACAGGGGCTGAATAACCAAGATCAAACACCTAGTAAGTGATAGGGCAGGGTTTCAAATCTGGGCTATTTGGGTGAGTCCATGCTCTTAATCCCTATGCAGCCTCTAGTAGCTCTAGGTCATTTTTTTTGACTGCTGTGTAGCATTCTATTTATGAATATTCTGCAGTTCTTTTATCCATTCTGCTCTTAGACATTTAGTTTATTTCAAAGCCCTTCATATTATAAACAACACTGCAATGAATATTCTTATACTACTCTTTGTGCACATTTGCAGTAGTTATCTAGGGCATATACCTGAGAGAAGTGTAGCTCCTAGGATATGAGCATCTTAACCTTTAATAGATGTTGCCAAGTTGCTCTCTGAAGTGTCCCTGCCAATTTACACTACTTCTAGCAGTACATGAAATGTTCTGTTATTCCACATCTTCACCAAGTTAGGATGTTTAGACTTTTTAATTTGCCATTCTGATGGGTATGAAATAGTTGTCATTGTAGTTTTCATTTTCACTTCCCTGCTGATGGAGCATCTTTTTCAAATGTGTACTGGGCATCCAATTTTCTTTTTCTCTGAATTTTACATGTTTATATTCTTTGCTTATTTTTGTTTTGATTGTTTATTCTTTTTTCATATTGATTTTAGGAGTTTTTTAGTATGTATTGTATGCTAATCTTTAGTTATAGTCTTACAAATATCTTATGCTAGTCTATGACTTATCTTTTCCCTATATTTTTTTGATGAATGTTGTTAATTTTAATATAGTAAGTATATCAGTCTATTTGAAATAGAAAGCTATGTTTAAAGAACAAAATTTCTAAACTTCCAGATGAACAACTTAGAAACTATTTATTCTAATTCTCGATTCCAGCAAATCAAAAATATAAAGTACATTTCTAGGCATCACTTTATTTTATAGCTGAGTCAACGATCATCTGGAGAAAAATAATCATTTAGAAAGAAAAATACTGAGTTTCATGTTATGTGGTTTTTAAACTTTTAGTGTTATATGGTTTTTAACTCTTTTGAAAAGAGTTATCTGCAATTACGTGACAATATAAAAAAAGTTTCAAAATTTTAGTGAGAAAAAGGCTAGCCATTTATAAAAATCATGTAATGGTAATTTATAACTAGTGATAATACATAAATGAGATAATATATAAAGTGTTTGCATAGTGTTTAGCCAATAGTAGGTGCTGGATAGTTGTAGATGTTATAATTTTTTACATGTAACTAACAAATTTGACCTTTAAGAAATGAAAAGTTTCTTGGCATTTTGATTCTGTATGTTGTATATACTTTAAAAAATAATGTTTTCTTGAATTCCAATCTAGTTTTAGGCTTCTGCTTTCTGATTCTTTGAATTGGGTTTCTGTCCAAAGTGATTTCCAAATGTGTGAACCATTCAGAACACAGAATGTCCAGGGCATGTTCATCAGCTACTTGTTCTTTTGCCCTGTTTGATTAGGGGAGACAATAGAAGATGCTGTTCGGAGAGAGGTAGAAGAGGAAAGTGGAGTCAAAGTTGGCCATGTTCAGTATGTCTCTTGTCAACCATGGCCAATGCCCTCCTCCTTAATGATTGGTTGCTTAGCTGTGGCAGTGTCCACAGAAATTAAAGTTGACAAGAATGAAATAGAGGACGCCCGCTGGTTCACTAGAGAACAGGTAAAGTTCAATTTAATTTCCTTCTTCTATTGATTGTTCTCTGACTGTATTGGTTTGGGCATGCAGCAAGGATACATGTTTTCAACAAGTTGAGTGAATGGCTACGGCCCTCTCATCATGCATGGATTACAACGTAATTGATGTGTCCTATGTTAACTCAATTCTGTGAGATTCTTCTAGTAATGACGATCCTGTGGCGTTTTCTAATTTCACATGGCATTCCTTCAGATTAATGATACCTTTCAATGGACTTAAAATAGGTAAACATTATTTCATAGATGAGAAATAGGAGTATTATTCTTAGATATTTTATATATTAGTTTACAGCATTAAAACAAGTGGCTCTCCAAAAATATCAGTAAAAATGCTTAAAATTTTTGAAAAGTTCTTGTTCATTTTAATATGTGCTTAAGGACAAGAATGACAAACTGTATAACAAAGATAGACTCACAAGAACTTTTTAAAATTTCACCCTTAAGTAATATAATGAAAGATAAATTACTTGTCTGTGTTTTTCATGACTCAAAGTATTTGTATAGAAAACAAATGGATACACTGCAATAGTGAAGGCTTGAAATCCTTTCTGTCTTTGCCTAAACAAAATTAATTTTCTCTTATGCTCAACTTCAGAAAGTAGAAATTAGATATTTTTTCAGAATTTTAGAAAAGAGAACCTGTCCCAGAAGTTGACTTCACTTTGAAAATAAGTGTGGAGCATATACTTTGCTTTTTCATGACCTTATTTTCATAAGAGAATATGCCTTTCTGGAATATTTTAAAAATTGAATCACCAACTCATTGAAGCCACTAAAAATACTGTACTAAATTTTGCATGTTGAATATGGGTGATGTCGCTTTCTACTGTTGTTATTCGCTGTAAAACTCATCACATTTTCGTTGAATTATATAAGCATAGAAATAGTATTTAATATTCGAATATGACAATGTTGAAATCCTAATACATTTTATTATGGTATATTTTAGGTTGTGGATGTTCTGACCAAAGGGAAGCAGCAGGCATTCTTTGTGCCACCAAGCCGAGCTATTGCACATCAATTAATCAAACACTGGATTGGAATGAACCCCAATCTCTAAATCAAATAACTAGACTTTGACCAAGTATTAGTTGATTTCTAATACCACTTATTCCTCAAATGAGATTAGAAATATTCAGTGCTCTTTAGAAATGTCACAACACAAAATATCATATTGGGTTTTTGAAATATTTCCAGTGTACTTTCCATCTTAACCACAGAATTCATATTTTTTATAAATTACAACATTGCCTCAGATTTTGTTAAATCTTAACCTTTTTGGAACATTTTTTTTGATTATGGTCCACATTTTATCTCACAAAACCATATTTCTAATAAGAGAAATCATGTTGTAAAGAAGTATGTTCTAAAAAAATTCTAGTGCCTCTTTTAAACATTAGACCAATCACTAAATTTCTTTTTTGAGAAATGAGAAAAAATTATTTGAATGAATTTTGAGCTTGATTTTTAGTCTTTTCATTACCATAAAAGTCCTTTTCAGTTGTTAGTAGCTGATTTTTACTCATCTTCCCATTGTAATCCACTTTTTTCTCCTGGTTCCGGTGTTCTATTAGTGGTGCTCTTACAGTATTGCTGCTAGTCTATTTTTTTTAGTGTTAAGAATTTTCTATTTTAACAGCTCTGCTAGTGACCATAATACCATGCCCTCATGGAAGAAGAGCATACCATTGTGTCTGGGACCACCTCCTTAAACCTAAAATTAATCAATATATCTATTTATCTGTTAGCTGTACTCAAAGTTGTTCTTAAGACAAATCAGGATTCTCTGCTTTTTCACTGAAATTAAAATGTATTTGAAAGACTTCCCCTCAAAGGTAAGATATTAAATAAATTCCAGATAGATTTACATATTTAATAAAAAGACTGGCTTTAGGTCATTTTGTGATAAGGAATGTTATCTGCATTAGCAAAAAATCATAATCATCATTACTAATAATATTTGTTAAACCTCAATACAACATCTTAGTTTTGGCCTTATTTCAACACATTCTAAGAAGCCTTTATAAATTAAGTATATCTTAGAACTGAATCAGTAAGACTCTAGAGAGAGTAAATTGTAGTAGTTCACAATTTTGCAACATAGAATTGTCATATTTTACAAGACTATTTTGAAATCGTTTTGAAAGGAATCTGTAAATGTATAAATTTATGTAATTTGGCTCTTTACTATTATATGTTAGAACTGGAAGAAACCTTAGATAATATGTGTAGTTCACTGCCCTTCTTTTATTGGTAAGGAAAAGGAGATCCTGAAAGGTGAATTTAATTAATTCAATCCGTTAAAGGTGAATCAATTAATTAATTGATGAAGTTACACAGTTGCTACAACTTACAATTGTTAATGCAATTAATTGTAATTACAGTTAAGTAACTTAATTACAACAGTCTATACTGTATAAGGATTCTCCCTGTAATAGGAAATAGAAACTATTACTAAAAGTATATGTAGAAGAAATTAAAATAAGGGATAATAAAAATAAACTTAATTTACTAAATACTGTTAATTAAAATTTTAGATACTAAAATTCGTTTAATTTAATAAGGTAACTTTCTTAGATAAAACTTTATTTTACTAATGAACAATGATTTTCTTAGTAATTGATGAAGGCTTATTGATAACAGGACTTTAGACAAAATTAAGATTTAAACAGGACATTTAGATACATAATACAAATTTCAACTACGTAAGTCTATAGAAAATGACATGCCCTGATTATTATGAGGTATAATGACTTGAAGTTCAGTTTTACTCCAAATGTACTTTTAATACTTAATATAGATTCTAAGATTACATCATAAAATTCCAGGTTTCCATAATGTTAGGATGGCAAAGTAAAATATAAAATATCAACAAAATGGAGTTATAAATTTAGTTGTGGATGTTTAATCCTGTACACAGGGAAAATCAGTATCTAAGTGAATTATTGTTTTAATAATTATTTTTCAATTGCTAACCTCTGAGAGGTGAGTAGCTACATGTAAATAGAAGGAATAGCCAAGAAATGGTAGAGGTTCAAGCGTCATGAATGTATTCTAATGGAAATGAAGGTAACGATACATTAAAATATTTATTTTCTGTTTTGTGTGTTATGTGTGTTTTTTAATGTTTGGTAAATACCTTCTGAAAAGTGGAAAAAGCCAAATTTCAGTCATCATTCTCTGTTTATAATTAATGATACGTAAACAAAAAGTACAAACGCCTTTTTAAAAGTTGCCATATTTGGAAGACTTAAATTTTTTATTTAAATCTCTAGTTTTGGGTCATATATATATCTATGTATGTATACATACATACACACACACATATTTGTGTGTATATATATGTATACACACAGACTTGTATATACACCTACATATGTAGTCAATAATTTTTTTATCTTCAGATTTAAAGTTATATATCTAGTCTAATATCTATTTTTATTACTTGTCCAATATTACCAATCTTTGCATTTTGAACTTTTTACTTGTTTTCTGTTCATGGAAGGACTAGAAGAATTAGAAGCCCCCATATTTCATTTAGCTGGAAAAATGATTAAGTAACTCTTTCAAAGATCAGGTTAGGTTGGGGCCGGCCTGGTGGTGTAGTGGTTAAGTTCACACGCTCCACTTCGGTGTACTTATCTGTGTAGACCTCAAAGTTCATGGCTGTAGAGATAGCTAATGATTATTTCAGAAAAATACTCTTATTTTATACAAATTACTAGGTTTCTCATAGCGATCTTTTTCGTTAGTTCCCACCCATTTCATACATCCTCATGAATAAAAAATGTATTTTTCATTCTGTTATGATATATTTATCACATAAAATGCTTTGTTTTGTTTTACACCATGAAAAGAGTATATACATTCTCCTTGTTCAGTATATCTAACATCAATATTAATAAATTATAAATTTAATTCAAATTTAGATTTTTGGACTTTATAAAAGTTATTTTTTGCCTGTTCTTTCCAATATATTTCTAAGAACTACTTATGGATCCCTGTTTACAAGCTCCTAAGAAAATAACTCTTTGGTTAGCTTAGTCTCATAATACTAATAATATTTACACAGGACTTTATATATAGAATGTTGATTATTATTTCATTTTCCCTTTAACCCTATGAAATGCATATTAATATCATTGTCCTCATTTTACAGTTGGCTAAGAGGGGTTAACTTTCTCAAAGTCACATTGTTGATAAATAAGAAAGCCAAAGCTTGAACCCAAGTATTTCACTCCAGATCTTTTCATCTTTCCACTTACCAGAGCTGTCTTGGAGAAATTTCCTAATAATGCTGCATTGACAAAAGCACTTCCAATCTCAATTTCCTCTTTCAGTGCCTTAAAGTTTGGTCATTTTTCAGGTTGGGCCTTCTACTAGTTACTCTGCACATTTCTGCAGGACCTTCACTACGGTTTGGTTCCCAAATTTCTGTCTCCAACTGTTTATTAGACATACCTACTTGGACATCTCAGAGCCTCCCAAATACTACATGTGTGAAATTAAATGATCTTTTCTCCCAAGCATGTTCCTGCTTCTGTATCCCTATTTCAATAGTCTTACAATTGCCCAACATGGAATTTTGGGTATTGTTATCCTTAACTTGTCTGCTTTGTCCCTCATTCTATCCCACCCCACAGCCATCTCCAAATTCTATCCCTTTTACTTGTTTACTTCTTACTACTTGAGTCTCAGTATTTATATCTCCCTGTCTCTATCTATCCTGTCTCTCTCCACTGCCACCATCCTACTTCAGGCCCCTCAGCTGGTTTCTATGTCAGCTTCCTAAATTGGTCTTTCTACTTCAAGTTTTGTTCTCAATCCATTCTTCACACTGCAGCCAAGGAGATCTTGCTAAGGGACAATCTTATCTAGTCTTAGTCCCTTACTTAAAATTCTTCAAAAAGACTCCCCTTTGAACAAAGGATAAAGTCCAGTTTACTTAGGATAGCAATATACCTCTCCAGTTTCAACTCTCATCACTTTCCTTTCTTCTAACCCCTTATATACCATCATTTGTATTCTTACAAAAAACCACAGACAAACCTAAATTTTTATCATGCATTAATAACATTCTGTAAGGATCCACTGAATAATTATGACCAATATTATATGCTTCTAGTTTAAGTAGGAATGTATCATTTATTTGAAGATTGTAAACTGTACTTCTAAACTATATTTTCATCTACATATTTCATGGGATTTTAAAAATTCTAAATCACGGCCTATATTATTTATCCCAGTTTTACAAGTGAGCTCATTGAGTCTAAGAGAAGTCAAATGACTTCCCCAAGGTCAACATAGGTTCTGGAAATGGAACTCAAATGTAAATCTTCCTAATCAAAGTCTGTGACTTCCACCACACTGCTTCTGTCCCTATATCTACCACACGAAGATGAATGAATTACCTGATCATTAACCCACCTGTATAAAAAGCCAAACTAGATCATTTAAGTTTTCATTTTTGTTTGGGTTTCTTCCACTTCATCAGCACCACGTGAACATCATAGCTATGTTTCATATATGCCCCTATCCAAACTCCTAAGCCACAAAAGCACATAGTGCATCACAGTTCATTAAAAGTATATCTGAAAATAAACAGACTGTTAGGAATAGTTAAAACAGATAATAACAGACTGATTAAAGGATGGTAGATCATTCCTGACGCTGCATAAGATTAAATATACTAATCAGATTTTGGACTTAGACAACCCAGATAGATCCCAAGTAGAACAAGAGTAAGTATTCAAATCTTTACGTCATTTTCTTGTCTTTCAAAATACATATTTGCATTTTATCCATGTCTCCTTCAGAGCTGAGGAATTCATGAAGGCCCTACCCAGGTGAGCTGATTATATGTCCTTTTTTTTTTTCTGTTCTGAATGAAGTCTTCTCTATTTTAATCCTTGCTATCCTAAATTAGTTGTTTGGCAAAAGATAATAGCAAAGGGAAAATTATTAGAATGTTACATAAGAAGAAAATTGAACAAACATATTTCTTTCCAGTCAAAAATTCAATAGCTGTTTGTAACTTTCTCTGTTAGCAAATAGAGAGGATGGACACATCCAAAAAACTACTAAAT